GTCCATCAAGCATGCAGGCCAGATGTGAACAACATGTAGGAGCAAACCCAGAGGGACTCAAACTGACTCATGAGATGTCTTATGTTTCAAAATTCTAGAAAGAATACTAATATATGTGTATGAGCAGATGTCAAAACATAATCACAAAAGGGAACTGTCATGACATTTGAATGTCTTTCACTGTGGTTTCAGGGGTATCAGGACAAGGGACAGTCACCCTGTGTTTTTATTAGAGATTTGGGAATGATATAAATCAAACACTGATAAATTCAGGGTAATAAAAATCAGCAAATTACAATGAAGTCATAAGGAAAATTTTATGCTGCTCAACAAACTGAACCTACTCAATCCAACTTTCACAGAATCATAGAATCATAAAATGGCTTAGATTGGAAGTGACCTCAAAGATCACCGAGTTCCAGCCCCCCTGCCATGGGCAGGGACAGAGCCTGAGGCTACCATTTCATATTCACTGTATTGTCACTCACTTAAATAATCAAATAAGTTCCCTTTTTGTGACTATGCAATTGGTGATCAGGACAACCAGACAACTTTCTTAAAACCAACTTGTTATTTAATAACAGGATGAGCATGCAAAGCAAAATCAAAGTACCTGGCACAAAGTCTATGTGCAACCATTCTTATCTAAAGCCTGAGCTTCCTATGAAAGTGACCTATTTTAGATATCTCAGTCACAGCTTTTTTAAAGAGCAGCCTCCTCCAAGTTATTTGCTTGGTAGCGATGAGTCCCTTTCTAAATCATATGGACCCTGAGACTGCTTGTTCCCAGGCTTTTCCTCATTTAGGCACTGTCCATTACCAATCTTCAGTCACGTACAGGAGAAGCCTTATGTTATTCCCTGCCTATTCCTTTGCTTACTTTCGATGACTAAATGCAATCAATATATTTTTAGATCAAACCACTTCACAAAATTCATTCTTTTTTTTTTTTTTCCTTTTTGCACAACATGGCACATAAAATCAGGTGGCTTCTTGACAAATACTGCTCTCTTTCAACACTGTATTCGCATTTACAGATAACAGATTTCAAAGTCTAATGCACAAGCTTTCTAGGTGAAATAGTGAATTTTCCATTTCTGGAGGCAGGTGGATAATTCCAGCAAGTGACAGCTTCATCTTGGGTGCCAATATTCTCCCTGTACCCACTTTCATCATTTTTAGATCAGGTTCAATGTCTTCACTGTGATGAAGCTCTTATAAAGACTGCTGCCTCCACTACGAGTGGGATACGGAGCAATAACGAAACTGCTGCAGTTTATCTCCCAGAGGTATAGAAGTAAAACACCACCACTTACCTAAATAAACTGGGCTGTAAAGTGTGACAGTTCAATAACAGCTTCGTGGGCAGTGCAGCTACTCCTGCAGGAAGACAAATTCCATCCTGCAAAGCAGAGGAGACAGGACAGGTGAGGGGACGACCCCCCATAGCTGTGGTGGGTTAAACTGTCCCAGCCAGTTGGAAAGAACCTGGGCCCTTATAGGCTCTACCATGTTCACACAATTTAAGCTACCAGTACAGATTTCAAGCTCCAAGTCAATAATCTGCTGAGCTGCAATGGAATGAATGCAAGTATTTAGATGTATAACCAGCCTTATTAAACTGAATGGGACTACTGTATCCTTAATTTGCATCTTACAAGTCATTTGATATAAGCAGTCCATATCAAGGTGTGCCCACCCGGCCTGATTCAGAACTTTGCAATATGGTGATGCTGCAGATACATGCAAACTAGTTTTGGTAATGAAACCTCTCTAATATCAGCTGCGTGGAGCTCACTGAAACCACAAAAAGACCTTGGCATTACAGAGAACATACTCTGAACAATAATGCAACAGCATGTTGTGTTCATATGTGCTGTTAAATAAATAAGAGAAAGAAGCCGCCTTCTTGTTTTCTTTTTCCTTGTTTAAGAGTATTTATGTTTTCGTTTTATTCTTCTTTTAAAATAATACTTCCAACTTTTAATTTTCCTTTGCCTAGTCATAGACTCATGGATATTACAGAATAGAAGAGTCATCTACTTCACCTCTACAAACACAGGAAAGTTTCTAATTGTTAATACTTTGCGAATGCATTAGCAATTGCTCTTAAGGTTTGCTCTTTCTTGTGCTTTTTTTTTTTTTTTTGCTTATGTACATGGTATGATAAAGTAATTGGCAAAGCAACATAGTGCCTACAGAACCAAAAACCAAAAAATAGCTATTATTTTAACTGAGTCTGGAAAACTGACTTTGGTGGTGCCAGAACCTGGACCAGCCACCTGTCAGTCAGCTAACCTCAGGGTGTACCCCCTTGATCTCAGCAGACACAGCTCCCCCAAAGACTTCTCCCTCACCTGTCAGTACTGAAGAGCCATTGCCCTGAATTCAGGAGCCAACACTGTAACTCCCATACACACACAGCCACAGACAAATCTGACACTCATTAATACACCTGAGCTCAAAATTTGTCCTCCACTTCACCTAATACATCTCTACCTGTTGCGTATCAGGAATCTGACAGTTTTACTCCCTACAACAGTTCCGAAGAGTTAAGCGAGTTCAGTCACTCACAACTGCAAATGATTTTCATAATTGTACGATGGAGACAGTCACAGGAGACACCTGTTGACACGCTCCTACTCCACTGCAGGGATTTAAAGAAGAAAGAATTTCTGGGAGGGGTAACTTAGGCACAAAAGCAGCAGGAAACCAGAAGCTGAAAATGTAACTGGAGCTTGAGTCTTATTTCAGTTCTTAGTGTAAGGATTCCTCTTCCTATGTTGTTGGAGCCTATTTCCCCCCCTAAACCATTTTATTCTAGCTGGGCTCTCCTTACCAATCCCTTCCCTTTCATCTTCTGCCCACACATTTGTGGAGAGGAGAGAAATAAAAAAGAAAACACATACCGCTATGGAACTAATATAGACTGGTATTTGGTAATCCAGGAATAATTTTTGGCCTGGGTAGCTTGAGCAGCACTTGTGTACCCCCTCCTTTGAAAACAGCTGTTTAAGTAGCACAACATTCAGAAAGTCTGTGATGCAGGATGTGACCCCCCAGCTACCAACTGCTAGACTACGGCTGGCTTTATTTCAGTTCCTCATACTGTAGTTTTTGTAAACAAACCTAAATAAACATGTTTCACCACCAGCTCTAGTCACCTTTCTCATGTCATCCAAATTACAGAAAGCTATAGAATCTGATTCTTTTTTAGAACACCTCTGTAATGGTTTGTGGACATGAACTACAAAAAAGGTACTTAGAAGTGTGAGGTTCAGTGCTCCTGCCTAACAGATGGAGAAATTGAGACAAAGGCACAATTACTTTTTCAAGATTATACAGCTAAGTCAGTGGCAGAGTACAATTACAATTCAGAGCCTCCTAGTTTCTAATCCTATAATCCTCTTTCCAAAATCTATTAGCACGACCAAATATGCTGTACCAGTGATGGCCGTGAATGCTCCATTCTTTGGAACGCTCCACCCCAGGTATCACAAACTGACTGTTCAGATGACGACACATGAATAATTTACAACCATGTTAAACATCTGAATTTAAATTACTTCACATCTCAAGTTTGTGACTAGGAGCACTAAATTCAATGGCTTTAATTGTTGAACAATTGTTCCTAATTATAAGTTGTTGAAATAGGGTGCTGACTCAGCACTGTATAAAAACTGCAGTCTCAGGCCGAGGGGGAGTAGAAAACAGAGTAATTTGTGCCAGCCCCTGCTGTACAGAAATTCTGTCCCTAAATTTCTCTCTCTGGCGCTGAGTGTAGACTGTATTTAACAGACACTACCCTGGCATGACTAAATCTACTGCATTCAAAAAATCTGGCCAGAGATCCACTGCTGCTCCTAGCCCTGGCAACTCGTACTTGCAGGTCTCTCTCTTCACCATCTGACGCTGCTCTTGGCAAGCGATTCCTGGTTTGAACACCTCCCCAGCGACCACCAGCAGGATTTGTATCATACCAAGGAGCTGCTGTTTTTTTCTGACAGAACCAAGGGGCTGAATGAACTGTTTGAATTACCTTTCCTAAAAAAAAAAATCCCTGCAGACTCTTCTTCAGATGGCCAACTCATTCAATCCACAGCTCAGTCCTTGCAGAGTCCTCATCATCCTCCAGGAAAGTAGGTGGGCCTGGAAATCACTGGGTTTTCTGGACACAGATACACTGTTTCCCTTAAAGGTGTACTAATAGCTACACTCACCAGGAATCACAGGATACAGGCCTTTCCTTCTGCCGGCACAAAACACACAGCACACACCTACACATGCGTACCATTAACTCTAATCTGAGAATCAAAAGCTTTCAAAATCTATAGTTGCTTAGACTCCCAAACTAGCAAAGCGTGTTAAAGGGGTAAAACTTTTCCAAGAACTTTCTCTGCTTACATGTCATTTACATGCACAAGCTAATGCCTCTGAGGCATTGCTGTTTCCAGTCATTCTCCCCACACCTCTATGAGAGAGATGTTTCAAGGGACACAGGCGAAGTTGTATTAAAAAAAACCACAATAATTCTAAAGTATTATTGATTTGTGTGAGTGAGCCTTAAGCTTGGCAGAAACTTAAGGCAAATTAGCTGGAATCTGAAATTAGTGTTTTCATCTTTGCTGCATACACTACACAAAATAGTTTACAAACTCCACCCAAAATGCAACAATTCCCAGTTAACTGCAGAATAACAGGTACACCAGAAATATCAGAGGGGATTTCTCCAAAGGAAGAGGCGGCTAAGAACACTTCCAACTACACTGTGAATGGTCAATATAACATTATACTATCACTGAACTTAAACACTAAAACTTAAGAAACTGTTGATTACTTTACACTAATTAAAATACCACCATCTCCCCTCAAAACCCACAGAGATAAGCAGCAAGGGTTATTTACATTGGGATTACTGAAGCTACATGGGATTATGTCTGCTGCAACTCAGCAGTTAAAGAAATTTTACTTCATCTATGAGCCAAGCCCGAAGACAGAGCACCGTCTTTCAATGTAGCATTTAATATTATTTGCCACTTAGAAGTCCACCCGAGTTTGCAACTATTTGTTCTGTTATCACAGCTTCCAACATCTATGTTTTTTTTTTAAAAAAAGTGTTTTGTAATAATTCACAATCAGCAGCGTTTATTTTCATTTTCTTTAATTAAACACAAATGGATCTCAGAGTCCAACGATCCAGCTATGCCCTTCCCAACTTCACAGCAAGGTGATTTTAAGTAAGGCTTCATGGCTAAGATGACAAGAGGCCTCGAAAGTTGTGGCTTCCTTCCCACTTCAGTTCCAAGCATTCATTGTCTGAAGTTACAGCGAGGGCCGTCAAAAATTCAACTCTCTCCACCTCAGCGTTCAGAGGAAACTTTGTCACCGGTTTGTGTCCCCAGCAGTCAGCTCTCGGCGGTCACAGAGCAGCCAAAGAAGGAAGGAGCAGTCCCAGAAAGCCGGACGCCGAGGCCCGACCGGCGAGCACCGCCTTCGCCCTCTCCCCGCCGGCGGCGGGGGGCCCACGGCAGCTCTCCCAGCCGGGAGCGCCTCCGGGTTACAGCTTCCTCTGCTTGTGCCGGGGGTTGGTCTTGCAGCAGACGTAGAGCCGGCCCCGCCGCCGGACAATGTAGCAGTCCTTGCAGCGCCTCCTCAGCACCGTTTTCGTCTTCAGCCCCGCGGCAAACGGCGGCAGCCCGGCCAGCGGCGGGAGGGCCAGCAGGCCGCATGGGGCGGCCGCCCCGCACCGCGGCGGCGGCAGCAGGGTCCGGCTCACCGCGGCGGGCAGTGCCGCCGCCCGCCACCACGGGGCCAGGGAAGAGAAGGGCAAGCGGCCTAGCGGGCGCAGTGGCCCGGCGGCGGCCCTAGCCAGGAGGGAGAGCATGCTCTGGGGCCTGCGGGGACAGCGCACCACTGAGGACACCCGCTCCGCTCCTTTCCCGCCGCCGCCTCCGCACCACCCGCCGCTCCCAGCCCTAAGGAAAGGCTCCAGGAACCAACCGGCTCCGCCGCCGCTCCCCTCTCAGGACCCAGGCCCCGGGTCCCGTCTCGCCGCCTCAGCCGCGCGCATGCGCGCACCCGGCGGAAGCGCACGCGGGAGGCCGCGAGGGGCGGGGCCAGGGCTGCGCCTGCGCGCGCCCCCCCGCGGCGGGGGTCAGGTGGCCGGCGCAAGATGGCGGCGCCCGGTGCGACCTTCCGCCGGCTGCTGCCGCTGAGCCGCTGGCTGCCCTCCCGCCCGCTGCCGGCCACCGCTGCCCGGGCCTACGGCGTGCGGGCCTCTGGTACCGGCGAGCTGGTGACACACACAGGGCAGGTGAGCGGGCGGGGCTGCGGCGGGAGGAGGAGGAGGAGGAGGATGGCGGTGGCGGCCCGGGGTCGGTGCTGCCGCTCCGGTGACCGCGGAGGGCGGCCGTGTCCGGGCCGCGTCTGCGGGAAAGCGTCTGCCGGGACTGCGAGCGGCAGCCTGGTGCGGTGCCCGCTGCGGGGATGAGCGCTCCCGGGTGACGCGTAGGGAAAAGGTAGGCGCGGTGTCATGAAAAAGACTGTTAATTAGGGCCGGGGTCGTTAGCCGTTACCGGTTGGAGCCCCTTTGTCAGCGCCTTGTGACCCACGGTCTGTGTGTTCCCCACGGTCAGACCGGGCCCTCTAGGCGGGGAGCTGGTGCGGAGGTGGGAGAGGTGCGGGGCTGGTGGGAAGGCTCTCCCTGCAGGCACTTCGCTCGGACGTAAATAAATACAAAACCTGAATTTCCTGGTTTGGTTCACCTTCCAGATGGCAGTGTGGGATCAAGGAACAGCATTACAAGTAATAAATCTTATGTTCATCTTTCTGGTCAGAGCCAAGACTGCAGTTTACTGGCTTTAAACCCCCACTCTGCCCCTTTTCTGCTTTCCAACCTAAAATTTATTTTCCTCTTTAAGAGAAATGGAAACTTCATTTTCCATGCCGTACACGCTGGTAGGAGGATGGTAACACTTGAAACTGCAGAAACAACTTATTTAGTTTTGACAGTGCTGGAAGCCCACGTGTTCTTTGCTTATGGTTGTTACTTTTTCAGTAAGATCAAGTTTATTTTATACTTTAGGTATATGAAGAAAAGGATTATCGAAGAGTTAGATTTGTTGGACGACAAAAGGAGGTAATTCATTCTACTTTTGCTCGTGGGAGAGGGGGTGGCTTGTGGCTCTGTTATACCTGTTACTGATTGTTATTATGAAAAAAACCAAACAAGCAAAAAGACAAAACAAACCAACCAAACTCCAAAACCAAACAATTTTGGATTTCAGTATGTTTTTTCACTATGATGAAAATTCTTCAAGACAGCTTATAGTGGTTTCTGTGTACCTCCCCCCTTTTGGCAAATTTGGAAAATTCAAGACTTGCCTATACCTATTAAGTGCTTACATTTAGGCCGTAGAAGTTGCAGGCATTTGAGCATCTTAAACTTGGACCAGTTTTTGTTTTAAGTATGTGCTTTAAGAACAATTTAAGCATGTTTCTAGTGTCATTTATGTTCAGAAAAAATCACATAATTAAATGCTCTGCTGAATTGTGCACCTATATACCTGTTTAAATGTGTGTTTTGAAGCTTAATTTGCTTCTGCATAGTTGAAATCTTGATCTTTACTCAAACTGAGTTTTTAATGAGACCATTTCTAGAGCCTGGGAAGCATTTGCTGAAAAGTGATATAACAAATAAAACTAAAATTTTGAGTATTCTGAAATAACAAAGCCTCAAAGGCAAAGTCTAATAACACCAGCATCAGCCAGAATGTGAAGTTATCTTGTGGGTCTCTTGCTGCTGCTTATCAATAGAGCGAGTGTGTGAAATTGCAAGTCCCTTAGCACCGAGTTCTCTCTGATGATGGAGCAGAAGCTCCCTGAGGGCCTTTGGGAGAGAAGCAGAGATTGTTTCAGCTAAATTGTTTTCCTCAATGCCCAAGCATCTGATTAGTGCCTTACTGTTAAATATGTATGTATAGTAGAGGCATTAAATATAAGGCGTGGTACATTTTTAATGTAATTGCATATAATTATTCCTTTCCTACATTAACCTGAACTAATTATGCTGATTTCTGCGGTTTTGTATTGAGTTTACCTCATTGTATCATGGATACAATTTAACTCGTGCTGTGTGGCAAAAATAGGGATTCTACTTGGGAAATAGCTAAATGAGAATGTCACTTAAAATGCTGAAGTAGTTTACTTCCGGGAGAATAGTAGCAAAGTACGTCTCTCCCAAATGCAATGCCTGTTTCTGTGCTACTTCTGTAACTGTAGGAAATGCTCCTGGAGCCTAATTCTCTGTAGGGCGCAGGTCCCTCTGATGTGCTCTTGCCAGCAGCTGATTTTGGACTGGTTTTCTGTGTGGTGAGGAACACCCAGGGGTTTCAGTTTGGCCCAGTTCCTTCTTCTCCAGCAAAAGCAAAGCCAAGCTTGAAGTCTGCCGAGCAAGGTTTAATGCTAGGTTTTAATTGTGAAGTTGAAAAAAAAATTTATATGTCAAATACTGGAACAATCCTCATCTGTGCTTACTAGTGGGATCTCTCTGTAGGGGCTTTGCTGTTACCCTAGGAGATCCCCCAGTGCGTTTCAGCTGCTGGTATTAGGGTTTCACAGCTATGTCTGTAGTCCAAATATTGCCTTATTCTGAAGCTAAAGCTAGCCTGCAACGTTGGTGACTGTACTTTCTCAGCTGGTTCTTGTCTTCACCTTTGGTGTGCTCTTGGTGGTCGAGCCTGGCTTGTGATCAGCCCAGTCCAGCCTCAGCAGCTTTCTTGTCTGGGGACACAGCCTTGGGACACAGGTGCTCTTGGTGAGGACATCTAGGCCTATATTTGGTGCTGCATGTGGCTTCTCCACACAATGGCTGGGCAGAGTACCTGGGCATAGTCCCCTGGCCCAGAGTACTTGGGCATAGTCCCCTTGGTTCTGCCAGCCTAATTGTTAATAAAATCCTTGTGTTTTGGCTAAAATCATTGATCTCTGCGCTGGATGTGCAGAACTGGCTGATTGGTGCTCTCTGGCAAGGGCCTAAAGCAAGTAGCTGTGAGAAGACTGAGGATGGCAGCTGTTAAACTGCATCTGCTGCAGTCAGACTAGGGTCATCCTGCCCTTGTACAATCCCTAAGGTACCACAGGACCTTTTTCAACACCACCAGTCCCACTTTGGCTCTACCCTTTCTGTTGGGCTGGTGCAGCAGCTGAAGCTGTGAGGGGAAACTGATCTCAGAGCTGGTCTGGTTTAAATGTAATCTCCCGCCTTCCTTCTGGGTCTTTGGACCTGGGTCTATTCCAGATTTGGTTTTCTCTCGGCCTCGCAGACTATGTACTGGCACAGGCGAGTAGGTGGAGAGAAATGGCAATGGAATTGTCAAAATGGCGCTATGGCCAGGAAAAAAAAATTGCTCATTGAATTACGCATTGGGCGAGGAGCATTTGGGTGTGCGTATTTGTTGTGGTTCAACCCCAGCCAACAAGCAGTTCCACGCAGCGCTCACTGCACCCATGGCAGGATGGGGGAGAGAAGCAGAAGGGATACATGTGAGAAAACTTGTGAGTTGAGATAAAGACAGTTTAGTAAGTAAAGCAAAAGCCACCTATGCAAGCAAAGCAAAACAAGGAATTCATTCGCTGCTTCCCATCTCAGGCAGGGCTCCATCACGCATAACAGTTACTTGGAAAGACAAACACCATAACTCTGAACGTCCTCTGCTTCTTTCTTCTTCCCCCAGCTTTATATACTGAATGTAATGCCATATGGTATGGAATATCCTTTTGGTCAGCTGTCCCAGCTGAGTCTCCTCCTAACTTTTTGTGCACCCCCAGCCTACTTGCTTGTGTGGTGGTGTGAGGAGCAGAAAATGCCTTAACTGCTTGGCAACAACCAAAAAGACATGTGTTTTGCCAACACTGCTTTCATCCCAAATCCAAAACATAGCACTATACCAGCTGCTAGTAAGAAAGTCAGCTCTATCCTAGCTGAAACTATTGTTCATTCTTGTCTGTATAACATCACCTCTGAAAAAGGTGTCCCTTCCTGGAGTATGTTTAAGCTGAGAGGTAGGGGTGGTTGTCTGCTCAGTACTGACTGGAAGCAGGTTGGAAGCAGCTGGCATGGATGAGGGAGGAAAGTGCTGAGGCTGGGTGCTGCGGGTGCTGCTGAGGTGCAAGTTGCTGTGTCACAAGCTTGTCCAGAAGTGGGTATGTTTGCCAGGCCAAGTAGACGCGCTCCAGGAAGAAGCCCTACTTGTCAGTGATAGACATATTCAGGAAGTGTATAGAAGATGGATTTACAGAGTAGCATAGTGATGTTTAGAGGTTTTTCTTTTTTCTAATGCCTCTCTAACTGTTGTTATGCACCATGTTTGTGTTATCCTGAGGTTTTTGTGCAGTGATAGAATAAAGTGCATGGTAAGAGGCTCTAAATTACCAGCAGTTGTTTTATCTCGCTTCTGACCTTACTTGTCCCACTATTATTTCTGAGTTTATCAGCAGTTAGTCTTTTGCAATTTTTATCATGTAGTCGCTAATGCACGATACAGAGGCAGTGTCAGTTAAATATCTTCCGTTCTTGGCTGCTTGTTCCTGCTGACTGCTCTGCTGAATCTGCTTAGGTCATGTTGTAAACCTGAGCACTGATTTGGCCTGTGCGTCAGGGGAAGGGGATTACTTTTGCAGAGTTTAACATCCTTAGTTCACTGATCACACCCGAAGAGTTGGTGGAGGAGATGGGGAGAAATCCATGCAGGAGCTTCTCAAGATGGCTGTGGTGCAACTGCTTGGGGAGGTGGTGAATTTCAATTGCTTTCTGTCTGAGTGGGGAAGGTATCTGAAAGTTTAATTTTTCTCTTGCAGGTGAACAAGAATTTTGCGATTGATTTGATAGCAGAGCAGCCTGTGAGTGAAGTTGAAAAGAGAGTGATATCATGCGATGGTGGTGGTGGAGCTTTGGGACATCCTAAAGTATACATAAACTTGGTAACGTCTTCATTGTGCATATAGCATGTTTTGTCTGTAAATTTCTGTTTATAA